ACACTCCTTTACCTAGCTAAGCTAGTAATAAGACTGGTAAAGAGGGAAGGTTGGGCATGAGGCAGGCTAGCGACCCCATCCCGTAAGAATAGACGCCACTGCTACCGAAACTTCAAGCATCTAACTTGAAGCCTTATGTTCCACTGGTAACGTAAAGGAATCCAGCCTAGTCTCACTTCTTCTTAGAGCTCATGAATTTTTAAATATCTTATTCCATCTACCAATCCTAGGTTTCCTTACGAATTAATGCGAATTGAGACAATGCATTCTACACTGATGTAGACTGTGGTTATTCATAAGTGAGTAATGTATCCTTGAAGTCTTAGCTGTGGAGATGTATTCCATCTGACTTTCAGCCAATAATTCTATACTTCCAATCTCGTCTCATTTAATCAAGCCTGGACAAATGATTAGTACCATCAGCCTTCAAACAATGAGTGTAGCTCATAGCCCTGTACCTGGTAATCCAGTTCTACTAATTAGCTAACTAACCAACCAACCACGAATAGTCTTACTACTTAGAGACTGGACTTAAGCCTGAGGGTTCTGAGTTCGAATCCCGATTCCCCATTTCACTCTGAATAACTGTGTAAAGCAATAAAATCAGCCCTTAAATAATAAGTGTGGATTATAGCTTGGTATATAATAAATCTGTACCAAAACCAAACCGTATCAGTATTAAATAAGTTTATAATTTTTATTAGTAATAGATATTTATCTTAAAATTTTTACAATGTATTTAAACAATACATTTAGAACAATGTGATCCATTTACCTACATGTCAATTCCCTTAATATGATAATAAAAATATAAAAGGTTTGATAAAATAAACAAAATGAAATGAGTTTTAGAGGTAAGAAAGATAATACTTGATATAACTCTTGGTAATACTGTTGGATGTAATCGAAACCCAATGGGTACGTACCCTTGATGAGTCCCATTCAAACTCGGACGAAACAGATTTTTGTCCAGTACTCCCTTATGGTTTCCAGTGTTGCCCTAACTGACATGAATCTGTGATTAAGCTAGAAACGAGATTATTAAGGTTGCCATTTTGTTTACGTCAATTTTTGTAGATTTTTCCCGTTAATTTGTTGGAGGATTTCATTATGAGCTGATATCACTTAGACAACCATTGGAAAACCAGTTGGGGTTCGAACCCCAGGACCTTCTGGTTACGAGACTAGCTCGTAGAACATTGAGTCACTGGGACCCGATCCAATTGCCAGCCCATGAATTCTAACTTCTGGCAATTCACGACAGAGCGCAACCACTTGGCAATGTCTTCTTTGATGAATTACTGACTCACCTTCAACCTGCTGTACACTACTCGTCACGGCCTCGTCTTTTATCCAGAAGGCACTGTGTTCGAACCCCAGTGGTGCGTGCTGATGAAGAGTCCCAAACTAGGCTGGCGAAACCGCTGCCAGTACTCCCTGCAGGTTTTTCAGTGGTTCTCTAACTGATGTCAGCTTATGATGAAATTTTCCATCCAATCAAACAAAATCCCTACAAAACTAATACTTGAAAATTCCCCGTTAACTGATTAAACTGATATTGTTCGGCTTCTTTTGACATATAGGCGCTCAGTACAGACACTACAACAATGTCTGATGTTTAACACTTGCGTTATTTGTCAGATGGTGACGAAATACTCATCGTAAATTCTACTGCTAAAAACCACCCACCAAAAAAACATTATTAAAATAGGATAGGTGAAACAATACTTCGTTTTCCCACTCACACATACACACATAAAAAGAGTGGGAGAGTAGATTAATTTTACCAATGTCCTTTCACCTCAGAATATTTCAGTACACGCCTCTGACACTAACTGAAATCTGTTTTGACATAAGTCTTATGGGTTATATCAATGAAGTATTTCAGGATTTCATCATGCGCTGACATTAGATAGAGAACCATTGGAAAACCAACAGGGAGTACTGGACAGCTGTTTCGTCAGCCTAGTTTGGGACTCTTCAGCAGTACGCACCCATCCACCACCAGGGGTCGAACCCAGGACCTTCCGGTTACAAGGCGAGCTCGTATACCATTAAGCCACTGGGACCCGATCCAATGGTCCTTGAATTCTAACTTCTGCCAATTCACGACTCTTGGTAATACAGTTGGATATAATCGAAACCCAATGGGTACGTACCCTTGATGAGTCCCATTCAAACTCGGAAGAAACAGATGTTTGTCCAGTACTCCCTTATGGATTCCAGTGTTGCCCTAACTGACATGAATCTGCGATTAAGCTAGAAACGAGATTATTAAGGTTGTCATTTTGTTTACGTCAATTTTTGTAGATTTTTCCCGTTAATTTGTTGGAGGATTTCATCATGCGCTGACAAATACCAGTGAGATGCTCACTGGCGACTTGCCCTATTCAGGTAGGTAGTTACCTGGGTTCCAGTGGGAAGTCGTTACCAGTAGGGTGCAGCGGGTCGGGTGTGAGGACAAATACTCGCCGAAGACATTGGCTAGCGGTCGCGCTATATCGTGAATTGGCAGAAGTTAGAATTCAAGGACCATTGGATCGGGTCCCAGTGGCTTAATGGTATACGAGCTCGCCTTGTAACCGGAAGGTCCTGGGTTCGACCCCTGGTGGTGGATGGGTGCGTACTGCTGAAGAGTCCCAAACTAGGCTGACGAAACAGCTGTCCAGTACTCCCTGTTGGTTTTCCAATGGTTCTCTATCTAATGTCAGCGCATGATGAAATCCTGAAACCAATCAAATCCCTACAAACCAACACTCAAATGAACTATTTATTGTATGTCCTTTGTGATATAAGAGGCTGATACTTTTAACATTTGTGCGCTTATCGAAATTAGAGAGTTTCAGCCGACTTTCAAGCTATTTTAGACAGATCTTCCTAAACGGATGAATTCTGTCAGCAACTAGCACTGATATAAGAATAAAATTTGAGCATTGTTCTAGAGTATAATTCTAAAAATGTAATGATTTTATTTGATTAATCACAGAAGTTTAGTGAAGATGTTTTAAGCTCAACTTATTGATCAGAATCAGGTAAACGAAGATTCTATTCAGTATCGCTTTTGAAAGTCAAGGCAATCAGTGAACCACATCTGTCTTTCTACATTCAATCAGTTATGTTTTTATAATTACATCAGCCAATAAACTTGACTGACAGAATTCAATTTGCATATAAACCAAAGATTAGAGGCATGATATTAGTCATAACCTAGTGTTTTAGTCAAAATGTCAATTATAGTCCTACAGGAGGAGGCCAACCACAACCCCAATTAGAAATAAAGTCTCTGACTTCAGCACTTAGTGACACCACTGATTCGAATCCCAAAAAGGGACATGAATTCATTCAAGATTATAAACATATCTTGCTGACTGATGAATGCCAACAAGTACGAAACCTAGACATATGGGGTTTCCCATCTAACAAAAATAAAAAGCTTGCAATAAACGCAATGTTCAACCTGGATAGAACTCATAGAATTATGTCTTACAACAACATACTTCCAATTCAATACTCAAATATATGAACAAATAAAAGGAACACCAATAGGATTACCGCCCATATCAGGATTAATAGCTGAAGCCGTTATGCAAAGATAAGAATTAATAGCTCTACCAACTATAATTAAACCGAAAATCTGGACAGGTACGTTACGTTGATGATACATTTGTAATAATTAAGAGAAATGTGATTTAGAATTTACTTATAAATTAATAAACAGCATATTTGAAGACATCAAATTCACCACAAGAGAAGAAGAATTAGACAAAAAAATGCCATTCCTCTTAGATGTCTTAATCAGGAGAACCAACCAACACAGGAAATTTACAAACACAACTATATAGAAAATCAACGCACGCACACACAGATCAAATACTCAACTACACTAGAAATAATCCAACTACTCACTCACAAAAGAAACTGTGTGCAGACATTGTTCAAAAGAGAGTTCAAACACACACTGTAGCACTCCGGAGTTGAAAAGAATGGAAGAAAAATATCTACAAACGGTCTTCAAAAAGAATACTTATCCACAAAATTTCATCAAAATGTGTTTGAAGTCGAATCACAACACCAGCAAGGAACCATCATCAAAGACCACAAGAAAATTCATCCTACCATACATGAGAAATATCTCTGAAATAACAACAGCTAGAATATTGATATAGATATAGCACACAAGCCACACAGGCAGTAGAATGACTTAATTTGATATTATACAAACTAAAAGATCCATCCAACAGAAAAAGGAGATTAAATTAATACCACTTACAAAATAAATTGCATGTATGAACTGTAACAGGTATCACATCGGTGGTCGAAGTGGGCGTCCGTCCCCTTTCGAATGAGAATCCAGGAACACAAATCAGCTGTGAAAAGACACGATATATATATTCCTGTTTCATATCAATTCATATAGACAATTGTGGACATCAGTTTGGTGATTGGGATAATGTCGAAATCTTAGACAGAGAAAACACCACGAGAAGTGCAGTCAGGGAATTCTTAGAAGCTAAGCACGGTACTCAAACGAGTATGCAATTAACAAACAAGTTGATATAGACCAAATATACCACCCTACAAAAACCAATACTTGAAAACTAATAAAAAGTAAATCACATGTGACTAGAAAGTTTAAAATCCAAGTCGATAGAAAATGATCAACACATATGTAAAGATGGTTACCGGGAGACGCAGTTCTATCACTCACTCATGGAAAAATTTGGATCATTTCACTTTATGCTAAATATTCCGCTGAAAGAGGATGTTGTCCAGCAGTGGGGGTGGGGGGACGACGAAAGCTCCACAACTAAACCAACTAACCAGCTCCTCAGAGAACACTATTAATTACAAATCATCCCCACCTGAGCTACACAAATCTTCTCTATTATTTCAAAAATAAGAACTCAATATAAATATATGAGCAAACCAAAGGATAGCAACAACCATAAAAAGTAAAATAAATCATTCAAATCGATATTTTAACATATTTAACATTTTACCTGAATAATTGTTTTACATGATGCTTGTAAATGTGGTGGGCATACTTGTGCTCGTAAGCCAGACGTTGTAACACTAGAGCATTGACTATCCGTAAATGAATTACATCGAAAACATTGTAAGGATAGAACACTATGCATAATAATAGTATTATAGAATATAAAAATTAGAAGACAAGTAGAAATTCTGTTAGATGACATAATTATTTTTCTGGCTGTTGAATTTCACTGTATCAAAATTTCCTAAATAATAATGTGAATATGAATCAAAAAAAGTATTTTCAAATTGACAATGAGTTATTCTATTCGGTGCGTTTTAAAGTTAGTTGAAATTATTAGTGAATTTATTTGATACGCGCGCGTTATTTGATGCGAGCAAACACACGCTAAATATATGCACATATACATAAATACACAATATAAGGTTGACTTGCTAACTGATTGATTTAGCCATGCTATTTTTTATTTTAACTACATGAACTAATCGATAACAGAATTTAAATTAGACATGACCATATATATATATATATATATATATATATATATATATAAAGAGTTAAGTAGATGCAAAGGGGGGTGGATGTGTGGTTGAGTGTATTAGGTGCAATACTCGACTAACTAACTGCCTAACTGACCATCAAGATATAACACTTCCGGTATTTTATAACAAGGTCATTTGTTTGTACAGTTAAATAAATGAACACAGAGTGAACACATTCTCATTAGATGTGCAAAAAATAATAATGATAATAATAATACTAAAATCGAATCCTATAACTTTAAATATCGTCATGATGACCTTGTACTACATTCATGATAAAAACTTGATTGTTAACTGTTTGTTTCAATTGTTTCGTTTTGGTTCAGCCGTTATTACAAACCAAAACTTTAATAATTATTATTATTTAATTAATGTAATGTAACTTAAGGCGATTAAGTCATCCCGATCATCAGTACAGATTCAGCTAGCAATTGATTAAAAATCATGTTTTATCTCATTTGTGTACATGGAAAAGTCACACGTTAAGTTATTAAAGAATGAAGTCATTTCATTTAATTATGATCATATTGTTTAGTCAATAATTGAAGAACTACTTGTATGTGTATCTACCAGTTTGACTGCAGCTGTGGAGCCAGCTAGCTACATAGGGCGTACAATTAGGCAGCTTCATTATCGGATTTTAATAATAATAATAATAATTTGCTTTTTTCCAAAATAACAGTACTTGTGATACAGAATGGAATTCTATGTTTGAAGGTGTTAGAAAAGTAGATACTAGCATATTTACTAGTGTAAACGGTAACAAAAAGGTCGAGATATACAGAGTGTAAAAGAACGAAGAAGAATGTTTTAAGTAGAGTTTGTAAGGAAGAAAGAAACAAAACAGCACATAACAGAGAAAAAAGAGATAGAGAAAAGGAAAAGAAAGAAAGAAAAAAACGTTCTACCTATATAAATGACATGAGTTGGAAAGACGAGATCCAGTTGTTCTACTGACTATTCAATAAGTTATAGGTATCACCCTTAATGCTTTCTTTATCGCAAAGAACACGTGCTAAGTAGGGTATGGTTGAGTTTTTGTATTTGCTAGTGCGAGCATATAGTTTCCCATACAGGCTTCTGGTTTGACTGATGAGATACAAGGGAAGAGTTGTGAATGAAGAGGGTGGTGTGAGTTAGATGGGTCAGAATGGATTTAGCCCATTTTTCACATGAGTTCAAGTGCCTGTCAACCAGAATATTAACAAGCTGGTTAAGTGGCACATTGCTTACCCTGCTGACAACCTTTAACATCCTGCGTAATAAGGTATAGTCTTTCTTCAGTAAAGAGTCCAGGAAAAACTAAAGGGGAACAAAAGAGAATAATAGGCAGGAAGTAAGAGTTAACGAATCGTAAGAGTATAGGTTGGGTTATTCCAGAATGTCTTAACTTCTTGATGTACTAGGTAAGACGGAATATTTTCTTAGAAATCATCAAGATATGAGACGACCAGGAAATATCAGCAGATAGAATGACGCCTAGGTATTTAATTTCCGACTTGGTATCTATTTCAGTGCCATCCATATTGCACACCTCGTGAGTGGTAACCAGTTTGTTTAGGTCAGATTTATGCCTAAAGGTGAAATTGACTGTTTGACATTTAGAGGGATATTAGGTTAGACGGTTTTCCTTGGACCACTGGCTGATTTCTGATAAAAAGCCATTTGGTTTGGAGCAGTCACTTTGACATCATCCATCATGGTTAAGCAGGGGACAAACAAGATCTATTCGTAGTTCTATTTTAGCACACCTTGTAGGTAGTGAGCATACGGTTGATGCTAATACAGCTTTTAAAATTATTTATCGCATTCCTACTAATCTTAATTTTGCTTTACGAGTTCCTCTTCTACATACCTACAGCTGAAGTAAGTGGAATCCACCTGAAGAAGCCAGCCAAACTTGTGTGTTCAGAAGAAATTTGTACAGCCACTTTCCTTATTCCTTGGCCATCGTTCCATGAATGTATAAACCGGACTACTTCGCCCCCCTGCCACTAAACATTTGAAAATTATAAAAATTATAATTGTCCAGATTATTTCATTATTTTTTCTGACCATTTCATCTTTAATTACGTGTTATCCTTGTAAAATTAATTTATTCTAACCATTTCCACCTTTTAAATGTGCGTATTAATTTTCTTCGTTAATTATCACCCTATTAACATGTTGACACTGACTAATTATTTTATTTATTTTTATTTTTGATTACAGCTTGATTCCAAACTGTATTTTCGGTAGAAGTATGGAATTTTCAGCCTGTGATATCGGTAGCCAAATTTTGCAGGCCGATCATAGATATCGGGTGTGCGTCGGCAGGGGATCGAACCTCGGACCATGTGCATGGTCGGCGAAAGTCCTAACCACTGCGCCACCGACGCAGGTTATTGTTAACAAACATATCAGTGCCACTTACTTGGTTGGTAAACTGTTGTGTATTGTAATAATAAAAATGCCATACGTGTATATTATTAGAGTAGAGCCAGAGTGAGATGAGGATCTAATTGAAAAGTAAATATTTCTTCGCACAGTCTTTGTGTTTTCGGTTTATGTGATTCTTCACATTGTTAGATGCTAACTCTGTTTTAGTTAAAACTAGGACAAAACAACTGTCCAGTACCCCAGATGGTTTTCCAATGGTTCTCTAACTGATGTCAGTCACCCCATGTGGTCAATCCTATAACCAATCAAATCCTTGCAAACCAACATTTGACAATTAATCTAATTCTCACTACCGCTGACTGGTGGCCCTATGCAGGAAGTGACGAAGTCGAGTCCCAGGTGTGTGAACGCTCCAGTGACTTTGAACGCATGTTAGTCGTCAGCTAATGGCATCTGTCATTATCATAGCTGAAATATCAACGCTACTCACCAATTTAGGAGCAAATTTCACCCAGATCACGTTTTTAAGTACTGTCATTTATTTTAATTTGTTTTATTATCCACATTTTCCTGGTAAGTAGTCGTCTATCCCGCTTGCTGGAAACCATAACAATTCAACCGAGGGCTTTTTTGGAAGACTGCAAGCAGGATGAGAGAGACAAATGATTCACAAAACACAGTTCATCTGTAGTCATCTCGGTGAATACACATGTACAGAAACTAGTCTAACTTAGCAACTGATACTACTCGTTACGACAGGGACGTATTTTTAAGCCATGACAGAGAAAGATAACCTGTTAAATGCGTTTTCAAGCGTTTTCTTATCAATATACATCATATTTTGAGCAAACATTCCTCATTTTTATGATTGGTCAGCTGAAGGTCACTCGTGCGTTTGCACTCCTGGGACGCTATTATTGAACTTTGCCCAGGAAGTTACCTAGAATTCTAGTGAGAAGTTGTAACCAGCGAGGTTCACCAAGTCAGGCAAGATCACAGTTACTTGCTGTTGCGCAAACTGACAGAAGTTGGAATTCGTGGACTACTGGGTCAGATCCCAATAGCTCTCCTCTTAACCAGAAGGTGTTGGGTTCGAACCCTGGCAATGGGACAAGTGCGTACTGGAGAAGATTTCCAGTACAGGACGAAACAGTTATCCAGTACTCCCAGGTCTTCCAGTGGTTCTCCAAATGATGCCAGCTCATGATCAATCCTGTAATTAATTATACCCTTAGGTTCCATGTAGAACACAGAGATTCAATATCAGATCCTCAGTTTATTCTGCCTCTGAAGTCCTACTTAGCTAGTTTCATGTTCGCCCATAAACTCTCATTTCCTCCGCTTGCGATTTCCTCCATATCACCGACGGATCCGTGCTGAAATTGCTATTACCCTCTTAGCGGTCTCCTCATCAGTGTGTGTCCAGTCTATGTGCATTTTCTTCTGCAAATTTGTTGGACAACAGATTCTTGATTGGTTCTTGGCCTGATTGAGCTCCTTATTTCTAATTTTTTTTTGCAGTTGGCTATCGTTTCTTCAGTATGGAGTAAAGGTTATTGATGATACGCTGAGTATCTGAACCATCTTGTAGACAGTGGACATAAAATCGATGTCAGCAAGGCTTTTAAAGTTATCTACAGTATTCCTTACGGGGTTCATCTTTTAGAATATAGTTGAAGCCATCGGAATCTATCTGATGAAAAGGTCAAAGTTATACGTTCAGAAGAAGTTTGTTCAGAGACGCTTTCCCTTTCTTGGTCATCAATTTTTTTCTATCTTTAATTGTCAAATGAATTTCCTTCTGAATTTTAGCTGATATCCACCTCAGGGTTACAGCTTTATATATATTATCATGTTCATGTTTGCTGAACTGTAATTTACTCCTTTTAAAAACACGATATCTACTTAAGAAGAAACATCGATGTTTTGATGATATTAGATGGTTGAAGGCGATCAGAAAGATGCCAAACCTGACCTAGGTTTCCTGCTAGTTGACACTCACCAGTCAGTCAGCAAGGCATATCTGCAACCTTGAAGGAACAACTCATGTGCCTTCTGAAATTCGAACTGGCGTCACCTAGTGCTGCAGTTAGAGACGTTACCAATGAGCTATTCGAGCTCCGGATCAGCCTCCTGTAGGACTGTAGTGGATACTTTGTTTGGACACTAGTCACTAACTAGTATGATGTGTCTAGTCCTTTCTTTGATGCAGACTGAATTATATCATGAATTAAAAGTCAATCTGAACGAAGAATATTCTTTTCGATAATTTCTCCTCTTCAGGTCCTTACAATTAATATAAATTATAAAATTTATTGTCGTTACAATAATGGCCAATTATGCGGAGGATACATTATTTAACGTAGAATAACAGATTAGTTATCACAGGGTGTCAAATAAATAGTCGAATTTCCGTGACAAATGTGCTAGTTGGCTGAAATCGATCACAAAATATTGTGAAATGGGGGACGATGGTGGTGATTAGTCAAAATAGATTTGTAGAGTGTAGGATAGGAAAATTGACAAGTAAGTCACTTCAAGGTTATAAAAGGTGTCAGGTGAGTGAGTGGCTAGTACAAAGTAGTATGTATTAAACAGGAGATAGTAAGACTGCCGTGAGAGGTTCATAAT